TAATATGCCTTTCTAAGCACATATTACAATATACAGAGACATATATTAGTGCTCCATATAAACTGGAAGCTCTGCATAATCTATATCAATCTTTGTAAAGGAGTCATTTATATAATGATACTGGTCTTTAATGCTTGATCAAGATCACCTCCTGAACACTTGCAAAGACAGTGACTGCCCCACCTCCCTCTGAAACTTATGCCAATGCCTGAAATTTTTTCAGTGAAAAATTTTTTTGCTAACATCTAATCTAGACCTCTGGTAACTTAAAGTTCATTTCCTTTCATCCTTTCACTTGAGACATGGCAGAAGAGATAGGCCCCCACCTGGCTACAACCTCTCTTCAGGTAGTTGTAGAGAGAGGTAAGTTCTCCCCTCAGACTACTCTCCCCCAGGCTAAACAACTCCAGCCATTCCTTACAAGATTTGTGCTCCAGATCTTCACCATCTTGGCTGCCCTTCTCTGGAAATACTTCAGCATGTCAGAGTTTTTCTGAAGTGAGTGGCCCAAGACTGAGTCCTGGGATTTGAGGTGTGGCCTCACCAGGGCCGAGTACAGGATGACAATCACTTCCCTGGTCCTGCTGGCCACACCATTCCTGATACAGGCCAGGTGGTCATTGGCCTTCTTGTCTACCTGGAGATGGCACTGGCTCACGTTCAGCTGGCTGGAAACCGGCATCCCCAAATCCCTTTCTGCTGAGCAGCTCACAAGTCACTCATACCCATGCATTGGCTGGGGTTGTGATCCAAGTGCAGGACTTGGCACTTAGCTTTGGTGAACCTCATACAGTTGTCTTCAGCCCATTGATCCAAGCTATCCAGGGTTCTTTGTAGAGCCTTCCTACCCTCCAGGGCTCTTTGTAGAGCCTTCCTACCCTCAACACTCTCTCTTAACATGAGATTGTCATGTCTGTCAATATCCTAACAGATATTGTCTCTAAACTTACTGAGGATGTATTCAAACTCCTCCTCTAGATCATCATTACAGATATTAAATAGAACCAGACTAATTGTGAGCCCTGGGGAATGCCACTGATGACCAGCCACCAACAGGATTTAGCTTTCATTCACTGCCACTCTCTAGACCTGGCTGTTCCACCAGCTTTCACCCAGTGAAGAGTACTTCCATCCAAGCCATGAGCATCCAGTTTCCTCAGGAGAATGCTGTGGGAGACAGTGACAAACACTTTACTGAAGTCTAGATAGGCATCCACTGCCTTTCCTCATCCTAAGGGAAGAGCACTTCTCTGCATACAGTTAGACACATCAATTTACTGCAGGGCTACACATATATCAGCCAGTTATACTACAGGCAGAAGTAGACAGAGATGTTTGAGAAACCTTACTGAATGATCAGTAAATGTAAGCACCTCAAGAAGTAGTAGAGTTTATGCATTTACAGTAGTGCACTTCACATCGGCAAAAAAAAAAAAAAAAGCTTTTCTGGCATAATTTTCTCCTTTAGAAAACTAAAATGTTCACACATTAAAAATGTTCAATTGACATTAAACACATTTCAATCAGAAGAATGTTTCCCTGGGTTCCCAAACAGTTCCAAGCACAGCAACATCTTCCCTTGCACCTGAGAAATCTTAAGTTCTGGAATCAACTTATGCCTGGAGCACCACTGCTCCATAATGTGCAGTACTTTTGCCTTGGTGAAAAGTACATATCCAAGACCTGAGCTGGCTCGCTTAAGGACTGTTTGCTATCTGTGTGTGGTGTTTCACTATGCTGTGCAGGCATTCCATTGCCTAGTAAATCTTTGTAGCCTATTTGAACCCTTTTCCTTGGGACCAGCATGAAAGCATGCTATGTTCCAAGATCCTTTTGATTAGTTTTCCATACGAGAGCTTATGGCAAAATTACACTTACAGAATTTGAGCTTTTAAAATATTTCTCTTCTTGGAACATATTCTAATCAAAGCACATTCTACTTTTGCTCCATTTCTATGCTGAGGTATTCATGATCAAAGCACAAGGGTCCTGGTATAGCTTTTTGAACTGCAAGACACCTACTGGTAGAAGACAATTGAACCAACAATGTTCTCAAGCTTGCAAATCCAACCTCTGATGTCATATGCCCAGGATCTGAACAAAGACTAGAAAGTCAACATAAACTACTATATTATATATAACTGATGACCCAATTATATATTTTTAATACTTCAACATAGAAACAGATTTATGACAGTGAAGTGATTCCCACTGTGTCTCCTAATTTTGTCACAGAAAAACCTTTCAAGTTTTGATGTTTGGCATCTGGATGAAAGAAGGCATTCAACTGATGCTGTGTTTTACAATTTAGTGTAAGTGCAAAAATCTCTTATGTTCGTGAGGAAATTCAATTTTGTTGGGAAAAAAAATCAAGAATGGTGCTCACCTGAGAAAAACTTGAACATCCTTACCAGTCTTTAAGTCCTTTATCTTTTACATAGTTTTATATGTAACTGTATATATGGCCTTACAGCTCATACAGAATTTCTAAGTCTCACTTTGTCTTTCTTCTAGGTGGTATAAGTTGTCTAAAGCCGTGGAAGTCAAATGGGATCCTGGGGTAAACCTGTATATAAACCTGTTTTTACAGAGGCAGAATCAAGCCTGACTCCTCTCAGAAGAATATGCTTCTCCATAAGAACTGTGCCATAAGATGCTATGTCTCTGCCACTAGTCAGGGTATAGTTTGAGCCAAGAAGCATCATAGAGAATTTCACAATGGTTTCAGAATCTCTTTTTTTTTTTTTTAATTATATGCTACAGATCTGCCTAGCAATTAAAATTTTTTTCCTTAAGCCTTGTTTTTAGGCTTAAGGAAAAAAAAAGCCTTTCAAGGCAGTGATTACTGGAAACGCACTATAGCAAGGCCATTCTTTAGAATGAGATAATGTAATTAGTGATATTATTTAATAATCATATTTTAATGGGTCCTTTAAGGGTTAGTCTAATTTTGCTACTCATATCTCTTACAACAGGATCTAATAGAAAAGCACAAGGACTGAGATTCTTTTGACCTGATTGTTGCAATTCCTGGACACGAATGAAGGCCCATGGCTAGAGACTATGCTAAGTGTTCTGAAAACAGAGTAAATAGGTTGTCTAGCACTATAGTGATTGTAACTGCAGTGTGTGTGTGTGTGTTTGTCTGTGTGTGTGTGTGTTTGTGTGTATGAGAAAGGTCTTGGAAAGTGACAAGAGACATTACCAGATATAAAAAGAAAGCAGGAAACCAGTAAGGAAGTGCTGGCTCTCCTGGCCAAAGTCCAAGTATGGGAAGCATGAACTTAGACTGACCTAACCATTTTCAGATATCTTCTATTCCTAAAAGGGAAGGGCTTTAAAGAAGAATTTTTAATGAGAAATTAGGATGGTTTTATGAATGTTTACAGGAAATCACTCCCAAGAGTAACAAGCAGCAAATATATGTTTAAAAAATCCATCAGCAGTAATGGAAGCAAAGTTTAATGATGAGCTGAAAGAAGATACTGACTTACTAAAACTGAGAAAAGAAAGTGACAAGAATAAAAATCTCTGTCTTGTTTTAATTACAGAGGCCATCAGAATATGCTAGAGGCCATAAAGAGGGTAAAGACAGTGATTGGATCCAAAAGAATCACAGAATGAATTTGCTTGGAAACAACCTTTCAGATAAAGTCCAACACTGCCTTGTCATCTAGACCACGGCACAAAGTGCCACATCCAGTTGTTTCTTAAACACCTCCAGAGACTGTGACTCCACCACCTCCCTGGGCAGCCCATTCCAATGCCCAGTGACCCTTTCCGTGAGCAATTTCTTCTTAATGTCCAACCTGAACCTCAGCTGGTGCAGCTTGAGTCTGTGTGCTCTTGTCCTGTAGCTCCTGTCTGGGAGAAGGGACCGACCCCCACCTGGCTGCAGCCTCCTTTCAGGGGATGCAGAGAGTGGCTGGGTCTCCCCTGAGCCTTTTCTCCAGGCTGAACATCCCCAGCTCCTGCCTGGGCTGGTGTTCCTCACCCTTCACCAGCCTCACTGCCCTGCTCTGGACACGCTCCAGCATCTCAACATCCTCCTAAACTGAGGAGTGCAGCCCTGGGCACGGCACTCGAGGTGCAGCCTCACCATGCAGAGTACCAGGGACAGTCACTGCCCTGGTCCTGCTGGCCACACTGCTCCTGACACAGGCCAGGATGCCATGGCCACCTGGGCATGCTGCTGGCTGCTGCTCAGCTGCTGTTAATCAGCACCCCCAGGTCCCCTCCTGCCTGGGCCCTGTCCAGCCACCCTGTCCCCAGCCTGCAGTGCCACCTGGGATTGTTGTGGCCAAAGTACAGGACACGGCACTTGGTCTTGCTGAACCTCGAATCATTGGATTAATTCCATAGATCCAGCCTGTCTGGGGCCTTCTGCAGAGCGCTCCTACCCTCCAGCAGATCAACACACACCCCCAGCTTGGTGTTGTCTGTGAATTTCCTAATGGCAGACTCAATCCCCTCATCCCCATCCTCAGTAAAGACACTAAACAGGACTGTGCCCAAAGCTCAGCCTTGGGGGACACCAGTAGTGAATGGTCATCAATGGGATGTAACAAAATTCTGGACCAGAAAAATTGTATGAGTATGCAGATCTTTTACAAATGATCTTTCATCATATCTTGCCCAATATTAGAAAGACAACAGATTCTAAAATAATGCCAGTGAAACACTGAAGCATGTTCATATATGCATGCAGTCCTTTTCAGAATGATGTATTATAGTGCAAGAGCAAGGAGGCTCACTTGAGATTGGTGTGTGTAGTACATTGGCTCTGCCTTCTCCTCACCTTCTGTACTGTGCTGTATCCCACAAAGTTCAATTTCAATGAAGTATAAGTGTCACTGTTGGAATCCACACAAGTAACAGAATACAGCACAATTTCGTATCTGGAATTACATGTAAAACCTGCCCCAAAATCCCCATCTCTGTTCCAGTAAATATCTGATACATTTAAACAATGACTTTTAAAAAGAGACTGGAACCAGGTCTTTCTTCTTCATTGCTTTATTTTTTTTTCACAAGTCTCATTTCAGAACACTGCTTAAAACCTCTGAGAGGAGCTGAACCTAGGCCAGAAATCTTAGCCAATGTTTCTGAAGTTGGAGGGAGATTCACTTAATAATGTAGGAGCTGCAGGCTCCTCCAAACGTTCTCAAATATCAAATTTTGTAACAGAAAGGCAGCAGACGGAATGTTGTGCAAGGATAGTGTGACTGGGAGGTGATAAGCAAGAAAACAGCAGCTTGGCATTAGGAAGATGTTAGGGGGAAGATAAGAAGATGATTACAGACTTCCAGGAAATATAAACACAGTGTGAAAATACAGGATAGTTGGCTGGGAGCATGATCACTCACTAAGGATGGACAGCAGCTGGCTAAGGGAACGGATAGCAGGGGCTGGGGAAAAGCCCTGCCCTGCTTACAGGGTAGCTGGGCTGGGGGCTGGGAGAGCTCCGTTTCCCCCTGTGGTGCAGAGACAGGGGCTCACATCCTCCTTTACAGGGTTACCCCTCTCTCCGGGCAGTCAAAGGAGCATAAGGGCAAAAGGCCAAGCACAGCAAGGACCAGCCCTGCACGCAGGGAGGTCGCCCAGCGCAAAGCCGGCCGCCGCACCCTGAAGGTGCCCTGGCCTGGAAAAGCCCTTTTCCCAGAGGGCCCCTTGTGTCCCTCTTCAGCTCCGAGCTCGCTCTTGCCTCGCCGTTCCACTCGTGAGCTCGAAGACGCTGCCGCTCTTGCCTCGTCGTCCCACGGCTTCTGCCAATGGATGACGACACACACAGGCCTGAGGAGCTCCAGACCTGGTGCCTGCAGGGAACCACCACTCAACAGCCCCACAGGGACATCCCCAACCAGTCACCCACAGATCCTTTTGGCTGCCCAAAAGCCTCACGCTTCAGCTCCAAGCTGCTGCTCTTACCTTGATGCTCCACTGCTGAGCTCAAGCCGCCAATGCTGAAGCTCGCTCTTGCCTCGCCATTCCACTCCTGAGCCTGAAGAGGCCGCTCCTGCGGCTCGCTCTTGCCTTGCTGTCCCACGGCTTCTGCAAACGTCGACGAGGACACAATCAGGCCTGAGGAGCTCCAGCTCCCAAAGGGAACTGCCACCCAACAGCCCCACAGCGAGATCCTCATGGCACCAAGCTTTCTTAAACATGGAGTCAGATCCTCGTCTCTTCCCTCATCCTCGGACCCCTGTGAACACGGTCACACAGGGCCTTCCATGTTGGGCAGATCTCCTGAGGCTGATATAAGAATACATTATTTCAAATCCAGCCTCTGTTTCAAGCCTCTTTTCCTTTCCTAATTAAATTCATTATTTGTATGTATTTTAATGTACTGTTTTATTGTGGAGACTCTACTGGTTACTGGAATATGATTTTCATTGTCAATACTGAATTAATTTTATAAAATATGAGGGAAAAATATTGAGAAAAAATAAAAGCTGCTGGTAAAATAGATGAGGCAAGGTAAATATCCACAGAAGAGAGATATCACTTTTACCTCCATGATTGTGATAGCAATACTGGCCATAAATCTCACTTATGAGATTATTAATAAGGGATGTAGTTTGCTGATGGTTTGAGCAAATTAATTAGGAGCAAGTGAACTGATGAGGTGAACGAGGCACCTCTAAAACTAAGCTACGGATCAGTGATAGAATAACCATTTGAATTGCTCTTCCTCTCTGTATGATAAAGAGCAGCTGGCCCTCCCAAGGATCACAAAACCAGATTGGTATCATTTTAAATAATGCCAAATGCTGCAAACTCAGAGCAAGATGGATGGAAGGTGCTCCAATTGTAAAGAAGGAAGTTACAGAGCATTCTTTGCTCATGGATATAACACAGAATTCTACAAGAAGATTTCCCATAAAGAATTACAGGAGAATTATATGGGGAAGGAGAACAGAGCAATTCTGGCCTTTCTACCAGGAGGATCTGTGTCTGTCACTTAGGCCCTAATTCAGGCTCTCCAGAGATTCTGAGAGTTATGGAATCACAGGTGGCAACGGTCAGTGTCCTACATCCCCCCATCAATAATCAGTGTCCTCTATGCCCCCATCAACTTACATCATTTGTACACTTTGTATTTTCACCTGCACAGGTCAGTGGTTTCAGGAAACAAGTAATAGTCAGCAGGAACTTGTCTATAAAAATGTCACTATTACTCCTTTAGATCAATCTAATACATGATTTCTTTGTAACTAATCAGGAGAAAATGAAAAAAGTGTGTAAGAGTTTGCTTTAGATAAAGGGGAGATAATTTAGATATAAAGTACATAGGGATGGCACCAATCTCCTCAGTTTTGATGTCTGAACTGAAATATTCTTATATACAATTATATCTTTATGATCCTGGGATATGTAAGCCTTAAGGGTGACACTCCCTGAGATAGAAAATCATGTGTCTATTGTATCTTCCAGGCTAAACATTTTTCAAAACTAAAGGGAAAAAAATTTCTTTAACCTTTACCTGTGTTCACATTTTAAATCTATCCAATTTCATTTCTCTCTCTCTTAAAAGCACTCAAGCTCTGCCATCTTTGCTTAGAATGAAGTGCAGTTGACCTCATTAATAGTACCAGTTATTTTCCATAGAGTGAAACACAAGTAAAACAGATTATATTGCCTGTCCTCAGCTGCACTTTGTACTGCAGCTTTTTTTTCCTCCTTTCAAATGCAAGGTGTGAATGCAAAACAATTGCTGAGTGGGCTGTTTTGTATCCTAACAAAATATAGTGAGTGACAGGGGAGTTTTATGGTATAAAAGGAAAGTAAATGAAAGAAACATGCAGTACTTGGAATGGAAGGTGCTATAGAGCAGCAAAGGAAATTATCCTTTAGGAATCTACCACGTGGACTGTTATGCTGTAAGTATTTAATAATATTTCTGGAAGAAAGAAAATTACATTTTCCCAGTAATTTTGCTGGCATCTTATCTTTCCAATTAAATTTTAATAAAAAATGAAGTTCCTTCAATGTGCTTCAGTTGATTTCATGGACACATGTCGCTCCTGTTTTAAATTCCATGTCCTCTAACAAGACTTTAATACATCTACTTATGGGAAATGGAGAGGAGCAAGAGTTCAGATCATAAATTTGAGTTATTGTCTCATCATCAGCTTCAGCTGTGGCAGTGACAACAATTGACATCATGGTAGTTTTGTCCATGTTATTCATTACTCCACTCTGTGTGGTTGGGAAAAGGGGATGTTTCCCAATTGACTAATGGCTTTAGTAGCCTCCCTTGCATATATATTTTTCAAGGTTTCCAGAAGTCTTCAGGTTCAGCTGCCAAAAACTGAAACCAAGCAGAAATTGTAATCAGCTCCTGTTCCAAGCCTAGCTCCATTTCAATATCTCCTTAGGAAAGCTTAAATAAAACAACAGCAAACAGCTGGGGAAGGTGAAGGACCAGAAGGAGGAAGGTGAAGGACCAGAATCAAGAGTGCCAGCTGTGGCCACCCACTGCAAAAATATTTACACAAAAACCAGAGACTACCTCTCAGTTCCTCCAACCTGGTTAAAAATTTTCTTTTTGCCACTTACATATGAGACAATCCTACAAATTATTGCTATTTTGATTTCCACTGTGTCATTTCTATGGCTGAATATTCAGCCATATCAAATAATTAATCAGTCCTGTTCATACTGACGTGATCGAGTTCAAGCATGTCTCTCTTTTCAAACATGTTCTTTATGTGGTGGCATTTTGAGACTGATAACAAATAAAAATGATGCCAATATATAAATATATCAGCAAAGCTTCTTTCTTTTTAATACACAATCCCTTGAGGCAGTTCAAGACATTTGTAGCCATGGGGTGGGATGCTGTTATGGATTAAAAGGTGATTAAGTTGTATGAAGAACAGAGGATAAATTGTTCTCTCCTTTGCAACACAGTTTAGAAGTATTAAAGTTCCTTATCAGGGTTTTTAGAGTATATTTTACACAGCATTTTGCAATACTGAAATAGCTGAGGCAAGTGTGCAGATGTCTTTGCTGAACACTCAGCATTTTCAGAAAGCATTCTGTAGTTGGGTGTTACTCCAACAATCTCCCAGAGAGCTCTCAGATTCAGGTTCTCACCCTATTAGCCACAAATCTGAATTCATGCATGCATTTTATTTTCTTTTTCAAACCAGCAAGAAAGATGTCAGTCAATCAGCAGCTGCTGGAGCAGACAAAGCTCAAAGCAATTCCCCAGAAGGCTATCCCTTTTTTTGCTGTTTCTGCCCGAAATTCTAACATGAACAAGACTATGATACCATTCCAGTGCTTCTAAGAGGTCAGTCACTAATAAAGCAGTGAAATAAAGCTTCAGTAACTCTGAACACACTTCAGTCCTGTAAGGACCTGGTTTAACCTTTGCCTGAATGGTGTGAATATATTCACAGTTACTGATCATTGTAAAATAGCCTGTCAGTCTTACTAACACCACTGCAATCACACTAATATGAAAACAAGCTCAAAGTCATGAGCATCCTCACCACTGGGTTCTGAATTACCTGCACAAATAAACTTTGAACATTTCTTACTGCAAGAAGAATGAAGTCTCTCTTACCTGCTTGAAATTAGTTACAGCTTTTATCACTGGGGAAGCTGTGACTAGAAAAATGTCTTCTGATGGGAATTCTGCAGCCAGCTTGTAGAGAAACAGAAACCATGATGAGTCTCATCATCAGACTTGAACACAATAAAACTACAGGTGACAAGCAGCATGTCTGAATACATGACTTTGGTTTTGTAGAAACACTACTTGAGGATAACAGAAGGATAAGGACTGAAGAGAATTTGGAGACACAACATTTATTTCAATCACACACAAATATACCTTCAAGAACCGCAGCCACAGTGTAAAGGACTATTGTCACAATATTCCAAAGGCCATCTGGTGGATCAGACTGTGATCATGGGATCTCTGGACACACTCACTTGGTGGATACACATTTTTTTTACTGCACAGCAGTGCGTAATTGCTTACAGGTTTCATTTGCACAGAGGAAATGCTGATTTCTCCTGGATATTTTATATCCTAATTAATAAACTGATCATGTTCAGGCTGCTATTAAGCAATGCAAGACTTATAAAGCCCCAAGCCAAAGGGAAGAAGTCCCATTTTCAATGTGCCTTGCTCAGCAAGGTGACATGGACCAAGACAAGTGGTGCTGTTGGGGGGAAGGGATGCCAAGTAGAGGGACTGACATCACCAGAGAACACGGCCTCCAAAACACAGTCTGTGTGCTGCTCTGCAGCCCTAACAGCCAAAACAGTCATCAAACTACTGCTCATGTCATTTCATTCTACAGCTGCAAAGTTACCTCCAGTTACTGTTACTTTAAAACCATCAAAATCCTTGAGACCGAGAAACAGATTAATTTATTTTTAGAGCTTGGGCTCGCAGAGCTGGATGAGGTGCACAGCTCTAAAACATGGAGCTTATAAAAACTGAGCAGGACGAAGAAAAAGGAGCACATAAATCCCAGCAGCACATAAATCCCAGGCTGCAGCACAGTCCTTTAGAATAATTCCTGCAGAGATCCCGAATCCCTGAGCTCTGGGCCAGGGCAGGAGAGCCAGGGCTCTGCAGTTATGAGTAACTCACTCTCTTTACAAAGCGTTCCATAAACTGCTTCAAAATAACCTTATCAGCTCTGAGCCTCTGGAGACGTACTTGTACACAGATAAACACCCTCATACTGCAGCACTGCTGCCCTGGGGCTGCGCTTGGCTCGTGTTTTCTCCAGGGACAGCAAAAAAATTATTAACATTATATTTAAAAAAGGGGGACTAGGGGTGTGTAGGACAGAGTACGGAACTACCGTACACACGCGAAAATTTGTTTCCATGGCCGTGCCCTCCGGGGGTTTATCTCTCTAAGCGCCAGCCGCTCTCACCGGGCAAGCGGCAGCTCCGGGCCGCCCAGGGCCGGGCACACCGGGGCTCCCTGGGCTGGGGGAGCCTCCCGCATCCCTGCGGGCAATTCCCGCCTGGCGGGGAGCGGGGAGCAGGCGGGAAAGGCACCGGCACCGGAACCGGCACCGGCCATGTCTTCCGGAAGCACGCACCCCGCAGCAAGACAGCCGCCCGCCCATTGGTCGCGTCGGCCGTCAATCAGCAGCCGGCTTGCGCGGCCGCGCGGGCGCACCGCCCCGCCCACGGCCCGCGGCTGGCGCTGATTGGCGGAGCGGCGGCGCTAGTGGCTGAGGGCGGGCGGCGGAAGGGGCGGGCCGGCGCGCGCGGCGCAGGTGGGAGCGGGGCCACGGGGCGGGAGCCGAGGGGGATGAGGGATAGAAGATAAGGGAAAAAAGGTAACGGATGCGGGGGCGCGGTCGGCACGAGCCTTTGGGACAGCTGTGGGAGCGGCCGACCCGAGCCACGGCTGAGCCCAACGCACGGGAGGACACGGCTGCGAGGCGCTGCTCCTGCTCGCCTTGGCGGCCTCACTCCCTTCCTTCCTCCATCCATCCTGCCCCGTCCTGCACTGCCGAGCGGGGCCTTCCCTTCCTGCCGTCCATCCGGCTGTCCAGCCCGGTCCCGCAGCCCCACCGAACAGGTGCTTCAGGCCTGGCAAGCGCCGTGCCCGCTGCTGGCGTGAGGGTGAGGGATGCAGGGAATATTGCACTGTATACGCTCACTGTATGTATTTGTATAATGTTCACGCTGTACGCCTGTGAATATTCCCACACTGGAGCAGGTTGCCCAGGAGGTGGTGGAGTCGCCGCCTCTGGAGGTGATTAAGAGGTGTCTGGCTCCGGCCCTGGGTGATGCGGAAGTGTTTTGTTCACACATCGTTATTAATATGTATTTCTCCTTCCATTTATAGGAGTGGGAAGATCCTTGTCGTGGTGGAATTAGCTGGTAGTGAGGAATTTTTTCCCCCCAGTATTTATTGTAATGTTGAATTTATTCCCTTTCATTTTTCGTTGGACTTTGCTTCCATCCATATAAGAAATAGTTCAGGATGGAGTAACAGAAAATATCAATTTCTTGAGTTTGGTATTATTAAGGTGCAATGTGACAAAAACTGTTGTTCAAATAATGACCAATAAATTCAATTTCATGTTCATTTCACTGATGATTATTCAAAATTGATCCCCTTCTCTAAACCAAACAGCATTTTCACTTCCTCCTAACAGATCCTGTAGGTGTTATGGTGGCTGCCTTTCTAAGGGACACAATATAATGTGTCCAGACTTTTCTGTAAAATAAGCTTTGAGGAGATCAAAAATGGCCATGAGCACTTGGTGAGTGAGTGGTCTGCCTTAGAGCATTCCTCTTACAGGGAATACATGACTTGGTTGAACTTCACTTGGATTCATTTAGAAGCCTGGTGAGCTGTGGCCTTGGGAATTAGTTGTGAGTTTGTGTTTATCCATTTTGCAGGAGAGAAAAAGCAGTTGTCATCTAGTGAGCAAATTAAATTAACCAGTGCTTAAACTGTTACATCAACAGCTCTGGTAATGAAGAATCTCCTGCAGAAAATTTGTTCTAAGTTGAGAAGGCTTACTTATAATATATATTTTAAAATGTATTTATTTCATTTTCTTTTTAGTGACAGTTGCTTGGTTAAATAAGGTCTCCTAAAGACAACATTCTTGAATCTCCAAAGATGACAGCTGTTGCAGGTAATCCATGATTTATATTCCATATGTTCATTTTGCTGTCTCTTAGCTAACAAGACACAATCACCTGATGTTATTTACATTAATTTAACGTATGCATAAAAGAGCTTGTGGGATCTGTGCTACTATACGTAAGATTTGAAGAAAAAATTCTTTGACTGGATAGCTTTTTATGTCTTAGGTGAAACTAAACCAAAATGCCCCATCCCTGGAAGTTCAAGGCATGGTTGGATGGGGCTCTGAGCAACTTGCTCCAGTGGCAGGGGAGTTGGCATGAGATGAGCTTTAAGGTCCCTTCCAACCCAAGCTATTGTAGGATGAAAATCAAGTTTGTCAAGGAAATTACTTGGTTTTCAATATTTTAAAAATATGCTTCATATTTTAAGATACTCTTAACTGTTTTCTGCTGAGTAGCAGTGGGCATTTAGGAAGACACTTGTCACCATTTTGTGCTATTTGAAATGAAGATATTTTTTCCATATCACACATTTTTGTTTCCATAACCATATTACCATGTCTGCTCTGGATGGGCCAAAATCTCTTGGGTTTTCTGGGTGTGGGGGAGGAAGTAATTCCTTCTGATGCTTTTCTGGCCTGGCTCTGGAGTACATGCTTGGCATGCAGGTGTGTGTGTTAATTATTCTTTTAGACTGTTCTAGAATCCAGGGACTGGATTCTAGAACACAATCTGCAATTCACACATGCATGTTGGGATGGAAAGAGGCAATTCCTGCCAGAGAGTCACTTGTGTGACTCAAGCTTTTGGGGAGCATTTGCTTCACTTCTTTCACATCTGAAGGATGGATAAAACATTTTCCCTCTACCCAAACCCTGCTGCTCAGCACATCCTTTTGTTCTGTGGAGGAGACAGATCTTGGTGCATGAACAGGGCTTGTTGCTAATGGCCCTGTTTACAACTCCAGAGGAGTTTAACTTGCTGGGGCTAATGTTGCTTCTCACGTGTAAATAAAGCCTTTCTTAACAGCTTGATCACTGGCTGGAGTACAGATAACACAATTAAAAGCTGCATCAGCACATGGCTGTGGTCTCTATTGTGCCTTCGCCTTGTCTCTCCCTGCAGTGCTGGAGGAGATGCTGGTGTCCATTGAGAATGAGCTGCAAGCAGTGGAGATGCAGATCCAGGAACTTGTGGATAAGCAGCAGGAGCTTCTTCAGAAAAAGATGAGAGTAAAGAATCTGATAAAACAGTCCTCAGGAGATGTGGAGGCAGGTGGAAGTAAAGACACTGAAACCTCAGCTGAGGAATGGAACAAAAAAGGTTTGCAGAGTCAAAGTCTAATATTTTAACAGAAAGGTGAACTAATCCAGTAGGGTAAAATGCACTTATACAGAATTTTGTTTGGATAATGATGTTGTCCTATTTAATTTTAATCAGCTGACTGACATGCCGGGGTAATATTTGTACTTGTCTCACCGGACATTCCTAAACTCTAATTGAGTTGTTCTGGGCAGAATTATCAGTTCTGTCAGAGTGGCCCGTTATAACTGCTTTAATTCTTTGCTTGTTATGAAGTCACAATTTGATCTGATTTGCTCTTAGAATGCCAGAGTAAATTTTTATTGCAATACTTGTATACTAAATGCTTATACTGCTATACTTTTCCTTGTTTCTGTTCTAAAACAAATTGCTTTGGAATTTGTCAGGGTTTGATAATGACAAATTTGGACTTAGAGTTGGTTTTTGCTGGTTTTGTGTTTCCTCTTGCTTGAGTGGGTAGGACATTGGTAGTGTTTGTGATGGGTTATGTAGCCTCACTGTCTTACCAAATTAATGCAAATTAGATAGGTGCTGACTGCCAAAAATAACCTAGAATACATTATTATTGTAGAATTAGTGCAAGTGGCAAGTGCCTCATGGTGGTGTGAGGGCTGCTGTGTTCCAAGTTAGGCATTAGCTGAAGTCCTGAATGGTTGTTGCTTCTTGGCCATGTTATGCCTTGCCACATATGACCCAGATATTTTGGGGTTTTTTTCTCCTTTTAATTTAATTTTCAATTTGTAAATACTTATATCTATTGTATATATAAGCTTTTTTTAGATTTTAAAAAATGAAATTAATCTTGTAGTTGAATCCATATTTATCTGTATTTGAGAAGTATTATGCCTATGTAAGAATAGTGAGAATATTGATACTTTATCACTGCAAATTATGCTATTGAACAAATAATTTGGTTTGTGTTGCTCAATGCCTGATTCTCACCTCCTGTGCTTTGAAAATTATTGTCTTTGCAGTCAGATGCTGTGTGTGTATTAAACAAGAGCAGCAAATTTGTTCCCAGTTTAAAGCTCGTGGAGGCCAGTGGGAGACTTTTCTTGGCTTCACAGAGCCTTGGATTTTAACTTCGCTTTTTGTAAATTTCTCTGCAATGTCACCTCAAGTCCCAGAATTAATTCTTGCTTTGCACATGGTGTAACTTGGAGCTCTCACAGTTCTTCTGCATTTTAGTTTTAATAGTACTAAAATTATCTATCAGGAAGCATAATTTAAGTTTTTACAGTATTACATCTTTTAAAAATGCAGTCTTTAGGTCTTTATTGGAGAAAAGAAAAACCTATTATAAGCGTGTTGGGGTGGTGATTTTGGGGAAGATTAAACAACTTTTCTCCCTCTTTATTTTCTTAAATAAATCCTTATTATTGATGGAATATTTGGAAAAAATATATCCCTCCTTCTTTATGCTGTTTGTAATTGCTGCATTTGTTTGAGGGAAGCATGTGAGTAACTACTGTAGGGCTCAGTGTTTGGTTTTATTTATCTTCAGGGTGGGGTTCTAATTTCTAGTTATTTTGGACTAATGAGTTAACATGCTCATTAGCACTCTGAAGTTCATCTGCTTTCAGTTTTTCACATTAGTTCACATTCACGTGCAATGAGAGTTTTGGCCTGGAGTTGAATTGTGTTTGCATTTTGAGTTTTCAAAGGTCCACCCTAGAATATGGTGTATCCAGACTCAGGTTGTGTGGAGCTTTTTCTGTGCCATTATGAATCCTTAAACACTTTCCCAGATCTAAAATTGTGTCACTGCTAGATTCAGTTATAAGAAGAAGGGATGATTTAGATATTGAATATTTTAATTTGCTTATGGAATGTGTTTGTTGAGTTTTTTTTTTCCCTTAACAGATTTTCCATGGTATGAGAAGATAAAAACTGCATTGCAGAGCAAATTTAAACTCCAGAAGTTTAGACCACTGCAGCTTGAAACAGTAAATGCTGCAATGGCAGGGAAGGATATATTTCTTGTCATGCCCACAGGTGGTGGGAAGAGCCTTTGTTACCAGTTACCAGCTGTCTGTTCTGATGGTATGTAAGGAAAAAAAAAGGACATAATATAAAGAAATAGATTCATTTTCTCCCTTTTGTAGTTATTTGGAGAACGAACATTATTTGGTGTGGGTTTTGTTTGGTTGGTTTATTTTTAATAACTCTTTCAGTTGCATTGGAAGTTGACTTATTCACAAAGGCCAAATTTACCACTCCCTGTCACTGCTCAGTTCTGTGACAAATCAGCACCTCATGCCACAGATATCCAGCTTTTCTTTTATATATTTTCATACTCTTATCTGTTAGAGCTAAGTTGTGTTTGTGGTCTAGATCCTAAGAGGAGGTGTGTGTTGTGGGCATTTAATAAGAATTACCCCTGTGTGGTCTGGCACTCACTTGTCAGCTGTCTAGGAGGGGAATCCCCTGCTGTGTATGAAGCTTGAGCTTACATTTGGCAGTTTCTTCAGAGCAGGACTGATGCATCAGTGTAAAGAATTAGAGGAGATAGTTGTGACATCTGAACTGCAAAATGGTTGATTGTTACAGGTTTCACACTGGTGATATGTCCTTTGATATCTCTCATGGAAGATCAGCTGATGGTTTTGGAACAGCTTGGTATCTCTGCAGCTTTGTTAAATGCCTCAAGCAGCAAGGTGTGTATAAGTTCTTGTGTTTTGTGGTGAATGTGCTGGTGTCTCCCCTCTGTGTAGTTACTTGTGAATATTGAATGGATGAGGCAGATTTATCAGCTCATGCTGTATTAGCAGCAGTATCTGGCCAGAAGTGTGCTGTGATGTGGGAAAGGTGCTTAAGTATCTTGTGTTCATGTTTTAGTGACAACAACACATGGGAACCAGCACCATGTGTGGAATAAATAGATTTCTTGGGACTGTTTAGAGGGTGTGAAGTGCCTTTGGCTGATGTGGTTTGATTTTTACTCAATTTCTATACTTGGAGTAGGTGATTTTTGTCTTCTTTTACCATGTTGAGCAGTGCAGGCTTTTACATATAATTATTTATCTCTTACTATAGGGTGGTGAGCTGTTTGATCCAGAGGCCCAGAAGCAACTCATTTCCCAGTCTCTTACTAGACAGTTGCTTTTTTACAGTTAATTTCCTGACTAGCAGGGGGCTGTGATCATTAACTTGCACATGACACTGGATTTGATAAGTGTCTGGCTTGATCCAGTGTGCCAGACTTGAAGCCTACTTTGATGCAGAGGGCTCTGAAAACTCAGTAATAAAAACTGCTCTGGTGTGCAAGGAATTATTTTACACTTTTAGTATCACAGGGAAGTTTGTTACATCACAGTTTATTGGGGAAATATTGATACCACCCAATGGAGCAAAGACATATTCAACTCTTCGCTTCTTCAAAGTTTCAGCACAGATTTTCTAAGTACTAAAACAACCATTTCATATACAGTAATCTTCTACAAAGGCTTATAGTGGTCAGTGCTGTGGAACACTTTCAGTCCCTGTTAATTACACCTTATGAGTTGCTCATCACCTCCTAAGAGCCTTAGCACTAAGCACTCCAGTGTGTTGTCCCAGTTTGTCACTCCCTGCTGTCTGGTTTTTTTTGAACAGGAACACGTGAAGTGGGTGCACACAGAAATGCTGAAGAAGAATTCCCAGCTGAAGCTCATTTATGTGACCCCAGAGAAGATTGCAAAGAGCAAAATGTTCATGTCAAAGCTGGAGAAGGCTTACCAGGCTGGGTGCCTGGCTCGCATCGCCGTGGATGAGGTGCACTGCTGCAGTCAGTGGGGCCACGACTTCAGGCCTGGTATGCTGCTCAGAAATCCCTCTGCAGGGCTGCTCAGGCAGCAGGCAGGCAGGCAGTCATGAGCTGAAATAAGGCCAGCTGCTTCCTTCCTGTGTCAAGTGAATTCTTAATGTGTGACACATACCTGTGTTAGCTCAAGGACTTTAATTCACAAATCATGCAGGAGCTAAGGTCATGCAAATGATGATTTCAACATAGATTTTGCTGTCAGTATTCTGAAAAATTACTTATTCTGCTTTTTTTAATTGGGGCTTTATAAAATCAAAGCTTTCTTCTGGCATCTTTAATATGGATTATAGTTACTTTAATCTGCTATATGAAAGTGTCATTCTGCACACCACTCCCTGGCCCTTCTGATGAAAGAAGTACAGCATTTTGTAAATTCATGAGATATATTTTAATCATCTCTAAAATAAGTGGAAGCAAATTCCCTTTGCTTACAGGGAAAGAAAGTGTGCTTCAGTCTTTTTCCTCTCTTGGAGACTGTACAATATTGTCACTTGCTGTTTCTTTGTCTATGAAAGAAAACCTGATTTGAAGCAATATTAACTGTAAAGTCACTCTTAGTAGTTTTGCTAAGAAGTGGTGCCTGAGCCAAGAGCCAGGCTGGTTCAACCGGCAGTGTGGAATTTGGATGTGTACCTCTGGCTGCACTTCTGTTCAAAGGCAGCAGGTGATTGTCAGTACTGAACCTTTAAATTTTTTCTTATTACACTCTGGTCTATGTATCCAAATTCCGCATTGCTTGTTTATTAGAAAAGCTCTGTTTACTCAAAAGATCTCTGTAAAAACAAACCTTCAAAATAACCTGAATGTTGGTTAATACAATGCCACACATATTTTTCTAACTTTTGAAGAATTTCTACTTCCATTCATTTTTGCCGTCTGAATTGTGGCTGATAATTGCAGCCTTTCAGTACCTGGAGGGAGCCTCAAAGGAAACTGGAGAGGGAATTTTTACAAGAGCTTGGAGTGAGAGGCCAAGGGGGAAGGGCTTGAAATTGAGGGTAGGATTAGACTGGGTATTAGGAAGAACTGTGAGGGTGGTGAGGCACTGGCACAGGCTGCCCAGAGAAGTTGTGGATGCGTCATCCCTGGAGGTGTCCAAGGCCAGGTTGGATGGGGCTCTGAGCAACCTGGGATAGTGGAAGATCTCCCCTCTTATGGCAGGGGGTTGGAACAAGATTGTCTTTAAGGTGTCTTCCAACCCAAATGATTCTGTGATAGAGTCTTTAAAACTCAGTTAGAAGACATCTCTTTTGCTAAGTGCAACTTGCCTGTTACTTCCTTTAGATGTATAAATTAGTTCTGTAGTAGATTAGCAATAATAACATTTATTGCAGTATTACCCCATTAAATACTGTCTACAAGAATGCCTTTTTTAAGTTTGCGTTTGTGGCATGAGAAATCTTTTTCTCTTCCCTTTTTCTTTTCTTGCTTAGACTACAAGTCTCTTGGTATCCTGAAAAGACAGTTTCCCAATACTCCCTTGATTGGATTGACAGCAACAGCTACCAATCATGTTTTAAAGGATGCTCAGAGCATTTTGCACGTTCAGAAGTGCATTACCTTTACTGCTTCCTTCAACAGGCCCAATCTTTACTATGAGGTAGGTCTTGCTACCTGGTTTGTGCTGTCTCCTGCAGGGAGAGGGGCAGGCAGCAGGCTCAGACTGCTTCAACCTGTTGGAAAAAAGTTCTTATGAATTATTCTGTTGTGCTGTATTTTCACTTTGGCCACGGGTTTGTTTATTGTTCTTGGCGGGGAAAGCTTGCAGCTTTGTCTTGGGGTTTATTTTTCAATGGACTTTTGAGTTGTAATCTGACTGTTCATAAAAAGAATACGGTAATTATTTTTAGTAGGTTGGAATAGTTGTGTTTATTATACTGGGGAAAGTAAAATAAAGTTGTTTGGCAGACTGTTTGCCTGCTTGAACTCTGACATGTGCTTAATGTATTTTTGAGGTTCGGCATAAGCCTTCAAATAATGAAGATTTCATAGAGGACATAGTTAAGACCATTAATGGAAGATACAAAGGACTGTCAGGTAAAAAATGTCTCAAAAGACACATTATCTTCTTAACCTTCATCATTGCAAGGATGTTGGGATGTTTTCAAATGATCTTGAAGCATGTAGAGAAATTCTGGATGTTTAATGTATGATGAAGGCAGAATTAGAATAAATGAAATTTAGTAAGATCCATACCTTGAATAATTTCTCTCTTCATTCATTAGAGTTTAAATGTCTTTACAGTTTACTCGTATCTTCCGAAGTATTGAACTGGAATGTTGATGTCTATAGAACAAAGGTTACATAGGTAATGGTAGGAAGGTTTAAGATTGTAAATGCAAGGCTCAGAAGAGCTGATCTCTGTTATTAAATCACACATTGTTTTCTGCCATGTGTCAGGATACTTGCTATCTTTACCATGTTTTTTCATATTTGATCAGAAGAGTCATCTGTTACTCAGAGCCTAGAATGGGTGTTATGGGGTGAATTGCAGATAAAAGCAGAACTATAGAAGTTGAACTTGTGCAGTCAGTAAACTCTGTAGTGGAAATAAAGAGGAGAGACATCTTGCTAAGGCAGCAGAACCCAGGTTCTGGAGCAGCAGTCTGTCCGTGTCTCTGGTTGGAGCTCTGTGGCTGGGAGGAGCAGCTCCCTGAGCACAAACTGTGCTAAGGTGATTCAAAATCATCTGGCTTTGTGTGTGATCCCTGACTTAGCCCAGCCTGACTAATGACAAAAGGCAGATTTAACTGAAACCTCAGGTGAGATGCCATAGATGTCATAAGGCATAGCCCCTTTAAAAAGCTTTAATAAACATTGTCCTCCTTGAGTATTTACAGTATGCTTCCATGGTTCTATGGATTGGCACCTGCATTTTCTCTTTCGCCTTCAGGTCCAAGCTGATAAGTGAATTTTCATTCATAAATACCAATATTATGGACTAAATATGCACAAAGACTGTATAATGCTTTTTACTTATTTCATAAGCTAATAAAACTTTCACAATTGTTTTTAACTACTGGGAATTGTTTGGCCTTTTTAAGGCATTACGATGAGGCCTCTTTCACTTTTGTGCAGGAATTGTTTACTGCTTTTCTCAGAAGGATTCTGAGCAAGTTACTATGAGTCTGCAGAAACTGGGAATCAAGGCAGGGACTTACCATGCAAACATGGATCCTAAATATAAAACCAAAGTTCATAAAGGATGGGCAACAAATCAAATCCAGGTTAAGTAAATACTTTACATGGACTTATGTCTTATTTAAACAAATTGTGATTTGGTAGCTTGATGATTTCTCAATCATTTTCTTTTTCACAGGTGGTAGTGGCAACTGTTGCTTTTGGCATGGGAATTGATAAACCTGATGTGAGGTTTGTAATCCATCACTCTATGAGCAAGTCCATGGAAAACTATTACCAAGAGAGTGGACGTGCAGGTACTGCAGGAGGTGGCTTTTGCCAAGTTGCCATTGACATCCATGACACCAGCAAAACTGTCCTTCAGTTTTCCAGGCAGTTGTGCAAAGTTTCTTGGCTTTGGGACAGTTTTCAAAGGGTGTAATGAAATTGCCTCTGTAAAGAGGCTTTAAATATGAACTGAATTCATGACCAGGCCTCTACTGCAGTGTAACAAAGAGTAACTGGCTATCTAGCATCTTTTTAAATACATGATTTTCTATCAAATCTGTGGCTTACCAGGGTAACATGACACAGATTTGATACACAATTTTAATTTTTTTTTTATTTTGTACAGCACCTGGGATGTGTGATTTGCTCAGATTGCCTCTAGATGATGTTTAATCATTGTATGAATTTCAGAAATACAAGAAGGAGTCTGGAGCAGGGAATTTTAAGGATTGATCAATGTTTGGCAGCATTAAATACCCGTTATGGCCAAACTCCACCCCCAAAAATGTTTTGCAGTGTTTTGGGGTTATTTGATCTTGTTAATCTCATTACTTTTTTAAAGACAGATATGAATCTATGTGGAGAAGAGTTTATCAAAGAACTTGAGAGGCAATTGATTGAAATTGTAATTATCTGTTCATTTTAATGCATTGCAGGTAGAGATGACCAAAAAGCTGACTGCATTTTGTATTATGGGTTTGGAGATATATTCAGAATCAGCTCAATGGTGGTGATGGAAAATGTTGGCCAAGAGAAGCTGTATGATATGGTCTCTTATTGCCAAAATATGAGCAAGTAAGTTACTGTGCTGGCTTGGTTGCTTAGTTTTTAAATGGGCTAATTTTTTGGGGGCTTTTAGGGGGGCTTTTGGGAAAAAAAAAACAAAACAACAAAAGAAAAAACCTGAAAACCAAAATGAACCCATCACCAAACAAAACCACCCACAAAAACAGGAGCAAGCTTGCCAGCTTCAGGATACAATTCTGGAAGTGGTTGTGTTGAGGTGAAGTATCTGTCAACAAACACTGTTTAGATTTCAGATCCCAGTCAGAGGAAATACTGGAGTTCTGTGGTTTTGGCTATGAGCTACAGTGTCTAATGGCCACATAGGAATCCAGGTGTGTTTATTGCTTCACCTGCTTCACTGTGATATTTGGAATATTCATGGAAAATGTGTATCTGGGACCAAAACTGGTGCAACCCAGTAAAGCCTTTTGTGGCCTCAGTGTAACCATGAGTTCATATTCTTACCAGTTTTCATTCTCTTGAAACTGCAGATTGTACTCTTGTGCTTCAACCAAACTGCCTACACCAGTATTGGCACAGCTGATAGGGAATACTGGTGTTGCTGCATTTGTTCTCTGATTTTTCCGCTGATAATTCTTTGTGCTTGTTCTGAGATCTGAGCTGTCCCTAGGACCTTTTTTGCCATTTCATGCTGCATAAGGCAGGTGTGATAAACCCACCTGGGATCCATAGCCCCCCTCTGCTCTCTGCTCCTCAGGTGTCGCCGGGTGCTCATAGCTCACCACTTTGATGAGGTGTGGGATTCTGCCAACTGCAACAGAATGTGTGATAACTGCTGCAGAGAGAATGGTAGGTAAAGGACAGGGAACATGGGAAAAGGTGATTTAAAGAAATACCTGGTGTAGAAAAACTCTGAACAAATTTTGTGACCTGTGCTTGTATTACTGACTGTTTCAAGGTGCAGATTTTGTTATGAATATCAGTTTTTGGTGGCCTACTGTTGTCAAGTTAGTTAAAAAGCAAAACAAAAAAGCCTTGCACATATAGCACAAAGATATATAGATATGTATTAGATATATATAAAAAGATATATAAAGATATGTATTTATAGCTACATATAACAATATGTATAACTACATTTCTGTTTAAATGTTCCTTTACTTTTACTTGCAGCATGTGAGAAGCTGGATGTAACAGGATACTGCAGGGATCTAATAAAGATCCTTGAGCAAGCTGACAGCATGAATGAGAAACTCACCCCACTGAAATTAATCGATGCCTGGTCTGGGAAAGGTGTATCCAAATTCAGGGTGCCTGAAGTTACTCCACCCAAGCACCCTCGAGAGGAGCTGGAGAGAATTGTTGCTCATTTTCTGCTGCAGCAGTATCTGAAGTATGTGAGATAACTATTTTGTTTTCTTTGTTTTGGTTTTTTAACATTTAGTAGTCATTTTCCTTGCTCTCTTGTTACTTCTGTATAACATTATTGGATACATTCTGTACTCTTGTTTTCATTTCAGATGCATAAAATTTATTCTTAAAAACCCTTCACGCATTGCTATATTTCCATTTCTAAAGTCAGAGAAACAGCTGAAATGGTGCATCTCGTGCAATTTTAAAAAGCTGAGGGTCTTAAACATTCAAGTAGAATGTTTAAATCTGCAGCAGGATTAATTTTGGAGAAGTCTGCAGTTCATACAGTTCTCCTTCACATTCCATGGATAAGGAGAGCAAATGGGGTTGTGCACACAATGTCTAAGTCAGGAAAGACTGGCTAATGTGGGAGGTGGTACTCAGAAATTTTAAGAAAGCATAGTGGAACTAATACCAGTGCTGCCTCTGTAAGAAGTCCATGTGCTATGTGTTGTGTCTTCTCATATAATTTCTAAGTTTAAGAATACCTACAAATATCTAATTCCTTTATTTTGACTTAATTTTTCTTTGCATCTCTCTGTACAGCTTTTTTAATATTATTAGTGGGATGAGCTGATGACTTACTTCTTTTTTGCTAAATCTCATTTTCTTCCATGTGTTTTAAGAGATTGCCAAGTGTGCATCTGAGTGGTTTTGTGTGTGTCAAGGTCCACAAACTGAATTATATAAAGTAATTGTTGAGTGTATTGGAGTAGCTCTAAGTCACCTGATTGTCTACTTGAATAGATAAAGCAGAATGAGGCTGCTCTCTGGAACATCCATCAGAAGGTTTAATGTGTCTCTGTCCTTATGGAAAGGGCTGTTGAGAAGGGCAATGGTGGAGTCACCATTCCTGGGTCTGTTCACACATGTGGATGTGGCACCTGAGGACATGGTTTAGTGACAGTGCTGGGTTGCTGGTTGGACTTGATGATTTTGGAGGTCTTTTCTCACCTCAATGATTCTATGATTTTTTCCCCCTGCATATTCTGGCTTCCATCTCCAGCCTTCCCCTGTAACAGTGATTTCATCCATGCAGGGAGGATTTCAGCTTCACAGCCTTTGCCACAATATCCTACCTGAAGGTGGGACCCAAAGCCCGGCTGCTGAAAAACGAGGGACATGTCATCACCATGGAGGGGATAACAAACAGCAAAAGTGGTTCCAAGGTATTTACGTCTGTTCTGATTTGCCATATAGGTATCTTCTCCATTAGAGCTTAATTTAATCATTTGGTATCTGCTCAAAACATGTTTTGTAGTAATGCAATCATTATATCCTCCTCAAATTGCATTTCAGTTACTAGTGCAAACAACACACTTTCCAAACAATGTCAGAAGCAAAAATGCAGAAAAAACCCAGTATAGTCTCTATGCTTAACTTAACACACCCTTTTCATTTCAATAAGTTCCTGGCAATATTTTGACATTATTATTTCATTTTTAAAGGCATTGAAAATTGATCTTAGTTTTTATGGTCAGTGAAATGTGAGAATATCAACAATATTCTAATTGTAGGCACTTGCCAGTCTCCTACCACAGAATTTCAAGATTCCACATCCAGAAATGTTTGGAATGTGATGGAGCACATGTATATGTGCATGTATGTGTGTATACATGTATGCATGTGCATCTTAAATATCATAACCTCATAAATATCTTCTCTTTTGTGTGGGAACATGAAAAAAACAGGAAAGCAATGCTACAATTTTAATTGAACTCTCGTTAAATCTTTCAGGTGAAACCATCTCAATCTTCAAATTCAAAAGGAGGGAGAGAAAATGCCCAGGCTGGATCAAAGACTGTCCAAGATTCAGGGCTGAAGAAATCACAGGAACATAAACGGCCCAGCTGTAGTCCTAACTTAAAAGCAAAGAAGCCGAAGCTTCAGGAAGGTGCACGTGACCAACCAGTAGTTATTGACTGAGCGTCACAGACTACATTTAGGATCTAATCATGGTTGCTGCTCCCTGGACAGTGCAATGTATTTTTATACTCTATCTGTTGGAGCTCAGTTGTGTTTGTGGTCTGGACTCTAAGAGGCGAAGCAGTGCCAAAGGCGGCACTGTGCCCTGTGGCACACTCTTCTGCACGCTGCCCCCTGGCAAGGGCCCAAGAGCCCTCGTTCCTGTCGCCTGACTAAAGGAGCTTCGCCAGCCCTGCTTACAGGGACCGGGGCGGGGCTGCTCCTGGGGACAAAGGGTGCCGCCAAGGTCCTGACACGGGCCCCGAGTACAGGGCCCGCACGCTGGCAGCTCACCAGCACCCCTGGCAGCGTGGGCGCACACCCTGGCTACAGGCGGCTCCTGCTGCCCACGCTGCCCCTGAGTGGCTTTGTGCTGTCCTCAGAAAGCAGGGGCAAGGCTGGACGCTTTCTCCACCCGTGCATTTTAGGCACCTGCCTGTGGTTGCACAGAGCTCCTCTTTCCCTCCTGGGAAGTCCAAGCTGCACTGCTCTGTTTCTAAAGGTGGGGCGGGGGGGGGCTAAAGCACAAACACACTTCCTCACTCACACCGACTAAGTGGAAGACAGGGGAGGGGGAGACAGTTGCAGAAGAGGGAGCAAGTTCTGTGCAGCCAATCTACTCTAGGCCAGAGGGGCCTCGGCATGCTGAAGCGCTTCAGGCCTGGCAAAGGGACACAGGCTGTGACAATGCCCTGAGTACAGCGGGTCACGCTGGCCAGGGGCCAGCAGCAGGCAGAAAGCTGCCGGGCCTGGGGAAAAGCCCTGCCCTGCTTACAGGGTAGCTGGGCTGGGGGCCAGGAGAGCTCCATTTCCCCCTGCGCTGCAAAGACAGGGGCTCACACCCTCCTTTACGGGGTTGCCCCTCTCTCCAGGCAGCCAAAGGAGCACAAGGGCAAAAGGCCAAGCACAGCAAAGACCCAGCCCTGCACACAGGGAGGTCCACCCCGCGCAAAGCCAGCTGCAGCACCCTGAAGGTGCCCTGGCTGGGAAGAGCCCTTTGCCCAGAGGGCCCCTCATGTCCCTCTTTAGCTCCGAGCTCGCTCTTGCCTCGCTGTTCCACCCTTGAGCTCAAAGACGCTGCCACTCTTGTCCCACGGCTTCTGCCAATGGATGACAACACACTCAGGCCTGAGAAGCTCCAGACCCAGTGACCTGCCCAAAAGCCTCACACTTCAGCTCCAAGCTGCAGCTCTTACCTTGCTGCTCCACTCCTGACCTCAAGCCGCCAGTGCTGAAGCTCGCTCTTGCCTCACTGTCCCATGGCTTCTGCAAATGTCAGCGAGGACACAATCAGGCCTGAGGAGCTCCAGCTCCCAAAGGGAACTGCCACTCAACAGCCCCACAGTGCAATCCTCATGCCACCACCCACACAAACCCCCAGCTGCCCAAAAGCCTCCAACTTCAGCTTGACTCACTGTCACAACGTCCGGTGCAGTCCCATGCCGTGCTGGAAGCCGGGCTCTCTGGGCAAATGAAGCTGGGCACGCAAAGCAGTGGCCAAGAGGCTGCACCCCTGCTTACAGGGGGCTCAAGGCGCTGCCCGGAAAAGTGCCTGAGACTCCAGAGCACTGACCCCCACTTACAGGGCAGCTCTGCTCCCCAGGGGCTATGGAGGCTCCTTCTCTCCAGTTGCGGGGCGCTCCCCACTAACGGGGCGGGCGCCCCACACAGGCTGCCAGCTGAAGGGAGCACAAAGGCTCCCAGACCGGCAGCCTGCTTACAGGCTGGTCCACACCCAGGGAGCCACCGAGCTTGGCCTTTCCCCAAGGCACAGGAACCTGACTGTAGAGTCAGGCAGTCCAGCTTACGGTCTAAAGCCGACGGGCCCGAGGGGCTGCTAGCCCAGCCCCGATGACAGGGAGGGCACACGCCCGGCCCCATGACTCCTGGCCCCACGCCTCTGAAAGACCGGGGCCAGGGACACCCGCCTGATTACAGGGGGTCCCTCCAACCGCCCGCCAAGGCCAGGGGACTCATAGAACCCCACTTACAGGGCTGCCCTCTGCTGCCCGGCACCCCCCAACAAGCACTATGGAGCACAGGCTCCTCTCCTCTCCTCTCCTCTCCTCTCATTGAAGGATCCTCTCCCAAGATCTGCGCTTTCTAGCTGTTCAGCAGCATAAATAATAATGAATTGTATGAATTATTTTGACTAGTTCTATCCAAAATAAACAATGTGTAATACACACTAACTGCAACTTCTGTCAGGTTCTTGGATTGTCACAGCAGCTGAATGGTAAAACCAAAATGTTCTAATAAAAAACAAATGGTAATGCACTATCTAGGTAATGGTAATGCACTGTCTCCTAGCTATGGCAGAAAGAAGATTTTAGAAGAGATATATGTAATTAATGTCCAACCACATGGCTTTTTTCACAAACTCCGCTGAAAAGAATACATCACCTCAGAACACTTGTGGTCAGATTTCAAATTCCTGTATTCATGTACTGAGCCATGTAATCAGCCCTGAAGTAATAGAATTTCAAATGGAATATAATGTGAGTTGCATTTTGAACTTGTGGACAGTTCTCTAGTTATGTTCTCTGCAACTGCAGTCAGCATGAATTTTGTTTTCGGAAGAGAGAATGGTGTTTCGTAACAAGCAGCTACAAAGCTATCTGATAAATAACTGAAAATTGAAGTGATATTTTTTAACATTGCTAAAGAGTTAATGGTATTTATATTTTCCAAAAAGCATAACGTTTAGGAAGGAGTTTACTAATTTTTCCAGAATTCATAGAATTCATAGGACTGAAATTGCTAGCTTGAAGCTGTTTGATAGAGACAAGATACCTGATGGGTAAGTGAATAATCCCTTTCTCCATACAGTCATGGAGCTTCTAATTTGTTATGCTATGAGAATATTTATTTGAGAACAAAAGCTTGTGGTTGCATCAAATTATATCTCATCAGAATTCAATGCTATAAATATACATATATATATATATAAATATATATATATATATATATGCATGCTGCTTTCTGTGTTTTTTTCCAGAAGACTTGCAGAATGTAACTGAAGAATAGCTGGTGTACTTCACCTCATTCATCACAAACTACCTTCTTAGATAAAGTAGATGGAATAAAGAGGTGAAAATTGAGGCTAATTCCTATTTTCCGTCAAAGAAGATAAGTAATATTTCATAGTGATTCCCAACATATTTCTGTCTCAATTGCATTCCAAACAGAAATGGACAAAAAGTAAAAAGAATGTTGAAATGTTTTGCTGTCTGAACAAAATATGTGCTTTTGACTGGAACTGAGGTAGAAATTCTTCAGTTTTTTTACTTCTGGCTATTTTTCACACACTCTGTTTGTTTGGGGTTTTTTCCCCTCATAATTTTGAGTAAGTTTCCAATTAATTATACACCACTTATTGTCTTTAAGAAAAATTGAGGAAGGTTGTCATAAGTTTCAAATCACAACATCCCTAGTGGACAGAGTTAATCTACTTCAGCAGTTTTATGAAATATTTTTTTAATGCCTATTCTTTCACTACTCAGTTTGATTATTAGGGGAAACAGTACACTGAGAATACTCAAGAAGGATAATTTTAGAATAGAAAGCATAATGTTCAAGGATAGGATACATTAATTTCTAACTTTGAGTTGTGATGGCAAAACATCCTGAGTTCTTATATAATTGCTGCATTCATTCTCAGGCATGGAATGCAGGAATTCCTCCTGCATTTGTGAGTGCACCCATTCCATCTGTTTTCTGAGAGAATGCCTGAACTCAGATTTAGGTTAAAAGTATGTTTTCTGTGTTATGCAGATGATATTATTCCTCTGGTGTTAAGAACTGTAACAATGAGGTTGGGAGAATAAAACAATATGAACTACATGGTCCTTCACCACAGTTACATTTTTAAAAATACCTTTTGGCTCCTGGGAAAACATATCTGAAAACCTGTTTCTTATGAAACAATGAACTCAGCAGAAAAATAGGCACAGAATGACATTTCAAATTCATCATCATTTCCTTCCTTACAAAGGAAGAAGTGGTTTGTGCAATGGGACTTTAAAGGCTGCATCAGACTGATACATATTTCTGTTGGGGAATGTTCATGGTAATTACATGTTTACATTGCAGCGCACTGCCATTAAATCCCCCTGTACTAAGGAACAGATATTAGTAGATTAAACAGTGGTAAAAAATTTACAGAAAAGGGAAGAAATTAGCCATTAAATCCTGGGTCACCCAACCAGAAAAAAATGGGGATTGTTCAACTATACCCTGGATTTGTTGGACAGGTTGACTGCTGATAATGAAGCAGACCAGTAGAAAATTAAAAACATGCTTATGGGAAAAAAATCCTGGCTGTGATATGTGTTGATTGGTACTGATGTGTAGTCCCTTTCCTTGGTGTTAAGAAGTGTGAAAAGAAAACAAGTGATGAAATGTTGACTGTCTCTGCAGTCTGTTTTGCTTTTTGGTTTGCTTTCATCTTGCTGCATTTGTGACTGGAAATGCCTTTGGGTTCAGTTTGAGCAAAACTAAAGTTAAAATTAAATTCTTGTATCGCCTTGTGAATTTTAGAGAGGGCTCTTTTCTCACACCCAGAAAGATGTTTGTGTGAAAGTCTCAGCCTAAAAGGCAGAAACACAGATTACAAAATCACAGTTTTGGACAGACTCTGACATGCCTTTTCTCCCAGAATACTTCAGCGGAAAACCACTGGATGTGAGACTGTATATAAAGCAAAGTCACTCAAAAAACAAATGCCAAAATGAAGTGGGTGATAGGTAAGAAAGAATAGAGGATGCTCCAATAAAAGTGGTTTATACAGGTTTTAGTGAAAAGGTAAATTACCTCATAAATACTATCAGAAAAATAATAGCTTGCTAAAAGAACCCTCAAATTCTCAGCTAGATAGATGAAACAATTTTTACCACAGAAGTGGGTAGGTGCCAAATTGAAACACTGATGTTTAGATTCATATACTTTGTGTGTTGATTGCCCAGAAGCAAGGTAGGTAGAAGCATAGAGCTGGAGAGATACCAGTGAGATGAGTATACTCCTTTCCTCAATGAATTACACTTGAAAAGGAGATGGGGATGACAGCCCAAAAATATTACAAGCAGTGACAGCAACAGGAAAATCATGTCGCTGTGCAGAAAAAAGGTGCATTCATCAGACAGAAATCAAATTAAACACCGTTTTATAGAAGAAAATACTCTTTATAAATAAGCAGATAACCCTATCTGCTCATAGACATTCTAATTAATACTTGGGGAAATATCTTCCCAAGGAAATAGCTATCTAAGCCCACAAAGAGTAAACCAAATGCCTGGTATTGGAAAGTGACAAAAATGTAGGTGTTGACTAATCCAACTTTAAATAAACAAACAAGCAATGTTGTGAAATAGGTGCATCTGTAAAGCCCTGCATTTTGGATTCCTGTGAAGAAGGGAAACCCTACATATGATTGTAATCTATCTCATTGCATATGGAATCGTTAAATCCAATTATCACAGGATTTGAAATCTTGTCTTGGCAAGATGTATTCTCTGCTGGTGGTGAGCCTTTGGAATTTTCCAGCAGTTTTATCCAAGATCAGCAGGCAGTTAGAGTTGTCAAAAATTCAAATTTTTCTTCACTGTTTTAACCCTGTATCAGGTACAGAGCAGGAGCAATTTATAGTACTAGTATTGTCCAAGGAGTTTGCCTCCCTTGAAAATTCAGAAAAAAACATAAAGATAATATTAAAAAGAAAAAAACAAAACTGGAGCTGAGCTCCAGTTTAAATGGGTGTGCATGAAAACAACTTAAAACGCTAGTGTTTTCACAAAAAATGTACACAGCCAAGTGTAAGAGAGAAAAGCCTACTGCTAGCTCTGCTACATGTTCCTGCCTCTCTTTGGAGACAAATCCCCACCCACCCAAAATATTAAATCCTGGATGCCTCTGTATAAAAGGCAATCAGTAAACCCTGACTTTTACAACACCTTCTTGGTGATTTATTTCACAGAATATTTGCATTGAGCAAGATGCAATCTAACAGTGCATCCATCTTAGATATGTACTGTCCTATTAAAACTTTCTTCTATGTTGCTAGCCTTCAGCACAATCTGATGAATTTTAACTGTGTGAAGGGGTAGGATTTATCCCTAGCTAACAAAATATATCCCAAAACTCACTAATTCAATTTTGTTGATTTCTCCAAACCCTGTGGTTAAAAAATGTTTTGTCTTAAAACTGTTTTAAAAGTACATCTCTTCATTGTTAACCATGAAATTAGCAGCAGTTTAAACCAGCTGCTGGGTAACTGGAATAAAGTTTCTTCTTTTTTATGTATTTCATTTCTGGCTGCTGGTGCACCCCTTGCTGTGGGTTTCTCAGACAAATTTAATTGAAAAAGGAATTGTATTTTTATGTAGCAATTTTGCCCATCAGTGGCCTAACTATGTCTTTTCTGTACTTGAAACATGCATTATTTATAGACATAACATAGAGAACATATAGACAAATAGCATATGCGTCTGACAACCTGTATAGACTGTATAAATTCATACAGGTTGGTAGGGACCTCTGGAAGTTATCTGGTTCTGCCTCTTGCTCAAGGCAAGGGTAATTTATTTCAGGTGGCTCAAGATTTGGACCAGCCAGGAATGGAATTATATGTGATTTTCTTCTAGTTCTGGAGAAGACCACATTAGGTCTTGAAAAAGAGCCCAGAGCCCACTGAGTTGCAGAATCCTTTGTCAGCAGACCATGATGGATCCAGGGAAAAAAAAAATAATCAGAAGACATTATATGAGAAGTGTTTGGATAATTGTGATAAGTTCAGACTGTATTAATGTCTTGGACAGTTAAAAAGTTATTCTTTCTGTTTTAATAAAAGTTTAACTTTAATAAAAGTTAAACTTTCTGTTTAAATAAAAGTTTAAAATTTAAATGTTAAGAAATTATTAAAGTTTGGAAAAAGTGGGGTGGGATATCAAGTTATGAAATATTAAAGGACTGCCCAGAATGTCACATGCAAAAGCACTTAAAAAGTTACACTCCTGTCTCACTGCTGAATGTGATTGACTGTGGGCCACAAAGATCTGACATCCAAGCATTCATATACAGCACCTGTGACCTTCTCCGTTAATGTCTTTTCTGAGTTAAAAGAAAATCTCATTAAAGGAGCACTTTTCTCAAGAATAATCTCTGAGAACTGCTGTGTCCTTGAAATACTGAGTGCTGGTAGGTCAGGAGGAATGAAGCGTTAGCGGTGAGAAGGGGACACTGAGCAATGACTCTGGGGTAAATGAAGAACAGAGGAACACTGTGGTGATGCCATCAGGAAAATGTCCTTTCAGGCAGAGATGGAGGTGCGAAGAGAAAGGGAGTGCATAGTTTCTTACATACTGTTCATGCTATTTAGGCTTTGAAGGTATTTTCTAAGCTATTTTTCAGTCACAGAGCAGTTTTAGCATGAAATTCCATGGAGGCAATCCTCCAGTTACTGTCTAGTATTACAGTTTACATTTCTTTTCTAGATGCTGAAAGGTTTTGAAGTGTTAAATGTTATTAAAAGTTCTAACTCTGTATCTGTAAAGAGCCTTTTAACATTAAATATTAAAAGAAGATGTTACTTTTTCTAGTCATTGGCTATTTTTGCTAAATATTTTATCAAAATAAATTTTTTTCACTAGTAGTGAACACTGCATTCTTACCAAAAAAAGCACAAATTCTTATTAAAAGATTAAAAGTTAGCTATATTTCTTTAGATGACCTTTACTTCTTAGCACATTAAAGATTTATCAAAACCTTTGGTTTTTATTCACTGGAAGTGCAATACATCCCAAACTACATTGCAGGATAAAACATTTTTCTTTAGAAGCTGCTATTTAATATATTTTGCAGTATCCTATATGGAATACTGAGGAACATTGAGATTTGTCTAGCATCTTCTGTTAATGAACAGTTTTATCACAGAAGATAGTCACTGTAGTTGCTTACATTTGAATTACTCTAGTGACAGTAGTTGCAGACCTTTTGCAGAAAATCTTGCATAATTTTATGAGTTGACAGAGAAAATATATATTTTTATATACAATCGTAATGAAAGAAACTTATTAGAATAATATTTATTTTTGTGTAGCATTTGAAATAGTCATGACTCTACTACTTGAAATTGGATTTAATAGACAGCCTTGCAGTATTGTGAAACTTGCAAATAAAAACTGCTTATTTATTGATAGCTTAGTTATGTGATGTTTTACCCAATATGAGAGCATCTAAGGACAACTTCCTATTTTTTTCTCTCTTAATCTTTTTAAAATATAATTTTATATCAGGGATTTTTGATAATTCAGCCAAAAATGTGCCTTTGTTCTTCTTCCCACTCTGTAAATTACATGAAGTTACAGTGGATTATAGTATTTCCCAAACATCCCATAGTGTCAGTGGAGGTGACACAAGAGCAGTAAAGGAGAAGTACGGATCACAGAGAAAGTGGAAAGTTTGCAGCTTTTGTGAAAGTTAATTGCCCGTGTTTTAAGAGCGCAGCATGGGAAGGCTACTAAGTAACTGAGTTGAGGAAGCATCAAGCAGAGAAAGAATTAGAAATTTTAAAAAAGTGGACAGGTAAGTCAGTAATTGGGCCTAACATGAAGATGAGTAAGGATTGATGTGAACAAATTGGAAAGGAAGCATTTAAACAACAGATCAAAGAGTAAACACAGTATATAAACAGAAAAGCTGATCTGCATTAATTGCTTTTTTTTCATTTTGAAAATACATTCATGATGTCATAAGAGATCATCAACTTGTTTATGGATCTGGCATGTAAAAACATAGATTTAGCTCTGAGGGACTGGAAAACAAAGGTTTTGCTTATCAAAAGTTTTGTTAATCAATATTAATAAGAAGAAACAAAGGCACACCTTTAAGTTAAGATGTACTAAATACCTATAACTGCTATGTAAGAGAAAATTCAAAATTACCCTCTAGAAAAATTCCAAAACAATTATGTATCCACTGACCTGAAGCAATACAACTTCCTTAGCTGGACTGAAAAAAACCTATGCATTTGTTGGGTTTTTTGTTGGGTTCTTTTTTTTTTTTTCCTGAATCTGCCAAGTATTATGAAAGATTTACAGCCATCCTGAGCATACTGAAACCTTCATACAATGTCAGGCAGATCCTTGCATTTTTCCTGCCTACTGAAGAGTTAGCTTTTGATTCTTGGGTTGTTTTTAATTTGTAAATTCTTTCTTACTCTGCTCTGTGGGTTCCTGTTCCTGGAATAACTGGCTTTCCCTCTACCTCCCTCTCAATGATTTATATGTATTTCTCTTTTTCTCTGCTATAGCATTTGTGTTTGATTCAGGCAGTTCTAATATCAACTGTTGGAAAATTAAGATTTCAATTACCTGTAGAAGGTCTAGAATGTGCACTGCGGTCTACTAGGTCTTTAAAGAAAAAAAAAATTGAAGGTGATATTTGTACTATCATGCAGTATTTGATATATAACCAAAGAGATGTAAAAATTTTGCCTTTTCATCTGAACATAGTGCATTATGCAATTTAGGCAGTAGAGAATGCA